GAAAAAATGGGGGTAGTAAAAGCCTTTGAAATTTGCTATGAATTATCTTGAAAGATAATGAAAAAAATTTTGGAATTTAGAGGAGTGGAAGTGGGTGCGGCTAGGGACGTTTTTCGTGAAGCGGCTCGTTTAAAGTTGCTGGAAGACGCCGAAGTCTGATTTGCTTATATCCAAAAAAGGAACATTACAGTTCATGCTTATCAACCGGAGATTTTAGATGATTTATTTGCCAATACTGCCAAAGAATTTTTAAAAAATTTAGATTGTTTGTTAAACCAGATAGAAAAAGAAGCCCCTAAATATGCTACAAATAGAAACTAAACACTGAGAAATTATTCATTCAATACTATCCCGATATCCTTATAAATTTTATGCTTACGGTTCCCGAGTTAAAAACCAAGCCAAAAAATATTCGGATTTAGACCTTTGCTTTTATGAAGAAATACCCTGGAATGTTCTCAGCCATATTCAAGAAGATTTTGAAGAATCTGATTTGCCTTTTAAAGTGGAATTAGTGGCTTGGAAATGAATGAGCCCAGAATTTCAGAAATTGATTAAGTTGGATTTGGTGCCATTAGGATAAAAATTAAAATATTAGTATATGTCAAAAATTACCAAACAAGAATTTGAAAATTGAAGTGAAAAATTTGACCAAATGATGCGGGATTTTATTTACTCGGCTAGTTTAAATGGTAATGCTACCGAGCAAGAGACGAAACAACTCCTTGAACTGAAAGCCCTTGTTAATGTCAATGCAAAAGGCGAAAATCCGATGGCGGTGGCTCTTTTTTTAACCTTTCTTTCTACTTTTTGCCCGGATGAAAATAAGGTCTATGCTGACACCGAGGGTTTGACTGTCGCCCAATGAATTGAAAAATATAAATCAAGATTAAAAGAACATGCCGAAGCGGGTGGTTATTATCAATCTAACCAACCCGTTGATTTATCTTCTTTAACCGAACGCTGAAAAAAATTATTAGATTTATTGGAAAACGAGGAGCAAAAAGAGCAAATAGGTTCGTTCATGAGTAGTGAAGATTATCAAATTGTCGGTAAAGTCGCTCTTTTTTTGAGTTCAGGAAATGAAATTGTTGGCGAGAAAAAAGGAAGCCATAAAAACAAAAAAGATATCCCGTTAGTAAATAATTATCCTTTTCTAGTTGAGGATTTATGCGGCCGCGTCGAAGCCGCCCAAAAGAAATTAGAGCAAGCAGAGAGAGAGAGAGAGA